AAAATAAAAAATATATAGTTTTATTTGCTTGCAGGTATCTGTGTGAGTATATGCTACATATGCGTGGGTGTCTGCAGAGGTTAGAAGAGGGCACTAAGTCCCCTGGGGCTGGATTTGTAGGTGACTGTGAGCCACCCAACAAGGATATTGGGAACCGAATTCTGGTCCTCTGGAAGAACAACAAGTGCCCTTAACTGATGAAGCATCTCTCCAACCCCTGGTTACTTTCAAATACAATAACAAGTGACGTAACATGCACACACAAAAGATGCCTGTGTTTTTGCCAGGAGCTTCCCTGGTGCCCATTAGTCAGCGTGAATGTCAGTATTCGCCCTATGTGAACACACACTGAAGGAATGTGCTTCGGTGTTTTGGTTTCACTTGACGCATGTTTTCTGCATAGCCAATCATCTCCTCTCCATTTAACACCAAGATTTCTAAAGATGCCGGAACTCTAGTCTGGGTTCCACTTCCTAGGCTTCGGTACACACAGAGAAAATTTTGGTGGATTTGCGGTGATTTCTCAAACCTTTCTGTTATTGCTATACTAATATTTATGCTTTAAGATCACCAGTCCACTAAAATCTATCAAATAAAAGCATACTGTTATAAACACAAAAGATCCTGGTACCTCTAAACATTATATAATGTCTCAAAAACAAGGAGTTTTGTTGTTGTTGTTGTTGCTGCTATGTGTGGTTTTTTTGTTTGTTTGGTTGGTTGGTTAGTTGGTTTGGTTTTTTCAAGACAGGGTTTCTCTGTGTAGCTTTGGAGCCTGTCCTGGATCTCACTCTGCAGACCAGGCTGGTCTTGAACTCACAGAGAGCCACCTGTCTCTGCCTCCCAAGAAGTTATTTTACATTAAGTTACTTAAAATTAAGTTATTTAACTCTGGTTATTTTTAATTATCTGTACCCTCACCTCCTCCCAAGAGAAAAGCAAAGCATGTTGCCAATCAAACATTAATGATTCTTATTTAAGCCATTGGATGGTTTTTCACTTACATTAGAATATGAGTATCTTTGGATGCAAATTGCTAACAGTTCCAATAAGAAAACACCCCTACACAGGTGTCCCCAGTTCAGCTGTCCCTGTTTTCCTACACATCTATCCAAAAGGACTCTGCCATTTTATTCCTTTATGTGTATTACAGCTCAAGGGATACTCTTGAAGCTTGACCTATAGAAAGGAAGGAAGGAAGGAAGGAAGGAAGGAAGGAAGGAAGGAAAGAAGTTAGGAAGGAAGGAAGGGAGGAAGGAGGGAGGAAAGGGAGGGAGGGAGGAAAGAGAGGAGGGAGGGAGGAAGAAAGAAAAGAAAAGAGATAAGATAAGATTTGGGGAGCTAGAGAGATGGCTCACAGGTTAAAAGCACTTGCTGCTGTTCCAGAGGACCCAAGTTTGGTTCCTAGTACCCAAGTCAAGCAGCCCACAACCACCTCTAGCTCCACGTCCTGTGGTGTGATACCCTCTTCTGGCCTCTACAGGCATCCATATTTATGTGTGTATACACACACACACACACACACACACACACACACACACACAAATAAATAATAAATTTTCTTTAAAAAAAAAACCATAAATCATTTTGATCAAAAGACACTGATTGTATAAGCTAGGTGTGATGGTATACACCTTTAGTTCCAGCACTCAGGAGGCAGAGATAAGTGTATCCCTGTGGGTTAGAGGTCTACACTATATAGCCCAGAGCAGTCAGGGCTACATAGTGAGACCCTACCTCAAAAAAACAGGGGGAGAGCGTAGCAAGATGCCTCAGCAGGTAAAAAAAAAAAAAAAACACTTGCCATGCAAACATCATGACCTGAGTTTGACAGAAACTGACTCCACAAAACTGTCCTCTGACCTCCACAAGTATGCCACAGGTGTGCACACACAAATGATAGACACACAACAACAGATAGATAGACAGACAGACAGACAGACGGACGGACGGACGGACGGATGGATGGATGGATGGATGATAGATGGATGGATGGATGGATGGATGGATGGATGGATGGACGGACGGACAGACAGACAAAATTTGTCCTGGACTAAAGATGTAGTTTCCCTGATGAGCTGCCTGCCTAGCTTGGAAGTAGGTCTGAGCCCAGCACCACAAACACACGGGCACAGCTGCAAGCCTGTGATCCCAGCACTCAGGAGGTGGAAGGAGGAGGACATCTTAATCTTTTTTTTTTGTTCATTTCTAAAATTACAAGTATTTGCTTATGGCTATGTGACACAGCATATATGTGGAAATCAGGGGACAATGCACAGAAGTTGTTCCTCATGAGCTCAAACTCAGGGCATCAGGGTTCTAGACAAGTGCTTTGACCTGCTGAGCCGTCTCACAGGCCTAGATATCTCAGTCCTGAAGCATGTTTCCCCAAGACTAGAGTTAACTGAATAACCTTGAAGAGAGAGCTACTGTGTTTGGGAGCAACAGTCTAGCTCACATGAAGAAAAAAAAAAAAACTGACGTCCTATCCTAAACAGAAACAGCATATACCGCTCAGCTATAATGAAATCAATCCAGGATTAGATCGCAGCGTTAATTCCTATAAGCCCATCAAAATGAAAATGCACATAATACTTATTACATGCTGGAACTACACCAGAAATGCTGCCGCAGCATCGGGTCACTGCTCAAAGCCTTGAGAAAGAAGACTCGGAATTTTCATTTAGTTCCAGACTCCATGCATGGACTATCACCGTCTTGAAATCTCCAGACCAGTTCTACAAAGGTCTCTCAATAGTTCACTAAGTGAACAGAAATCCAAGATAACTTCTGGTGAAACAGGGCAGGGGACTTCACTGTCAGAAGACTCCCATGTGTATTCAAAGGCTGGACTTTGCCTCTCCAAAGCTGCTTGCAAGTATTTACTTCTCTGAACCTCTGTTTTTCTCCTCTATAAAAGAACAAGACAATCAACCTGGAAAACTATTTTGTAAAGCAAACCTTCAGCTTGTGTGTGTCACACTGGTACTCAATTGACAGTTCATAAACTGTCACAAAGTATCTCTTTCTGGAAATCCTCATTGTATTGTGTGAGACTTAGTCAAATTGTAATAGTTTTATCAATCTTTTACGTTTAGATAAGATGTTTTAATACAGAAAAACAAAAACTTAAGTACCCAGGGCCTCACATATACTAGGCAAGGGCTCTACCCACTGAATTATACTCTGAACCCTGACTTTTGTTGTTGTTGCTGTTGTTGTTCGGTTTTTCAAAACAAGGTTTCTCTGTGTGTAGTTTTGGCTGTCCTGGAACTCACATAGTAGACCAGGCTGGCCTTGAACTTAGAGATCTGCCTGTCTCTGACTCCCGAGTGCTGGGATTAAAGGCATGCACCACCACTGTCCGGCTCCAAACCTGACTTTTTTTTAAACTGACACTTTATGTATGCTAAGTGGAGCTTTAAGTATCAAAAGAAAGTTAAAAACTAGTGAATTTTTTTTAATGTGGAGTGCATATATATTTATTCAGAACTTGCATGGTGGAAATCTTTAAAACTGTCTAAAGGCGAGTGCCTTTCAGAACCCAGATACAGACCAGTTGTCTAAACAATAAATGATCCACCACAGACTCCAGGCAAAGTCACAACAGGATGAGAGAAGAGCCTTTGGCCTCTCTCAGATTTCCTGGCCACTGTTATTTTAAAACTTGATCACATAAACAGGGGAAAATCCCTTTCAGATAAGCCCCTATGGACTATAATTTACCATCTTTGTTTTTAATATCTTGTAGTTTCCATTAAATATCATAGTTGTTCAGTATTTTTTACTCTAGGTGATAAAGGGCATATGTATATTCTATACTACATAGCTTTTTAACTATACATTTAATCACAATAATCTTTTCTTAATGGTAGTATTGGGTCCCTGTCATTTACAATTATCTTTTGAAAACAAATACATAACTTGAAAAGAAGAGGAAAAAATAGGTAACAAATCACACGAACACAAAATAAAAACACTATGGGCAGATGAGCATCAGACTAAAATGACTTGCTTACCACTGTGCATGTTTACTCCTGCGCAACGGAAAACACCAAAACTGAGCGGACATTTAAAAGTCAATGAGCTATTCTGAAGAGCTGCATTGTTTCTGGCTCTTCCTCTGGCCCCCTTGTAACATTTGTGGCTATTTCTAAAATTAATGCTAGAGGGCACTAAGGTAACTTTTTTTCACTAAACATTTCCCAGTTGGAAAACCACAGGCCAAGACGTCTTGAAGTTGAGTTAATTTGTACAGAAATGCTGCTGTTCGGCGGCCAACCTTTGTACCATGACCACCATCAAGACTCACATTTTATGGTGTGCAGATAGTTACAGCTGAGCCTCAAGAGCTGTTAAAAGTCTTAAGGTGACTATATTCGAACATCCTACAACTGTACCAAGAGAGCAAACGAAACTTTTATTCAGCTCATATGAAATCGGAGCAGCGTTTGTGTAGTTCCCCAACAATATCTCCACATTAGGATTTAAACAGCCCTGCCCTACATACTTTTTGCCAGATAAAATGTAACTCTGTAAATACTCCTGACATAGATAATCTAAGAATGGCCTTATCAAGTTATTTCCTATTTAAAAATACAAGCGTGTTTAAATTAGTTTAAGGAGTTTTGGAATTACTATTTTTTTTTCAGCAACACATCCGTAAAACTCACTCTCAAGATCCTAGACCGCTCAGGAACTAAAATTCCAGCTCTGTAGAATGCCACTATGGTCTTCGACATGGCTAAATTATTAATGGTCTCACTTGATGTCGTTACTTCTGACAACAAACTAGCCTGTGTAGAATTTTCAGTGTGCTTCCAAAGGAGAAAATAAAACCATCCCGCAATGTCGGGTGGGACTCCTGGGACCGGGGACGCAGCCGCGTCAGATGACAGGCGCCCCGCCGGCCCGGGAAAGGGAAGCCAGCGCTCCGGTCCGCGCGCGGCCGAGCAGAGGCCAAGCGGCGAGGACAGGCGGGCGGGCAAGCCCACACTCACCCGGCGAGGCAGGTGCGCGAGAGGTCGCGGCCACGGAGAGGCTGCCGGACTGCAGGCGCGAAGGGAGAGCGCGACGCCGCGGCCGAGAGCGAGCACCGGAGACGACGGCCGCCGGGACTCGCTTCCTGCTGGGACGGATCCCGGATCGGTCTCCTCCCGCCGGCCAGAGCCCTGCTGAGTGCCCAGCCTGCAGCGCACGTCACTGCTACGGAGCGCTCAAGGGGGCGGGAGGCGGGGTCGAGGGCGGGGCTTCGAGGGAGAGGGGCGGGGCGGCTGGAGAAAGGGCGGGTCTTCATGGGCAAGAGGCGGGGCAACCTAAGGGGAGGGGCCTTGAGGAGCGATGGCTGAGAGGGGCGGAGCCCAAGGGAAGAGGGCGGGGCGGACTTGGAAGGCTCGGGGTCTTAGGAGCGAAGGAACGGAGAGGCGGGGCCTCAAGACGTGTGATGGGGTCGCGGGGCGCGAGAGCTGAGAAGAGCGGGGTCCCTGGACGCGGGACAGGGCGGATTAGGAAGGGGAGGCCTCGGAGAACTAGTGCTGAGAGGGGCGTGGCCTCAGGACTCGGGAATGCCGTGCAAGGAAGGGGCGGAGCTTAATGGCCTGAGGCCAGGGAAGGGCGGGGCCGCAGGGTCGGGAAGGAGCAGAGAGCCGAGGAGGCTCTGGGCGCGTCCCTGCTAGGGGCATGCTGCACGCAGCTGCACGAAGTTCCCTTCGTCGCAGTAAAGGTTGTTTCCAGTCCCGCAGCGCAGGTCTTGCAGATGCACCGCAGAGTCAGTTGGAGAAAAGTTGTGAGTGAGTGGGGACAGGCGTATTGCGGAGGGTTCTGGGTGGCACAGCCTGGCAGCCAGGCCTGCGCTCCCCACGCCCCTCTCCACCTGCCTGCGTCAACTTCCTGTTCGGCCCTTGGAGGACTGGACCACGGAAGGAAGTATTCCCTGCCCCAGACTGGCCTCCCATGCCGATGTCATATTCTTAGAGCCCCTGTATTTCCACCCCGCCCCTTTTGTTGTTTATTTGGACTCTTGAGAGTCTCAGTGTGTGACTTGCATTGTAGCCTGGGCTAGCCTCAAATAATGAAAATCTTTGTGGGCTGGTTTTATAGGGCTGAGCCAACTGCCCCGCTTTATCTTTTCGATTGTTTCATTTTACTGTCTTTATAAGGTCATATGAGTCATCTTTTTAAATTAAATATTACATTCCTGTGCAAATTTGAAAACAAACATCGTCTTTATAAGGAAAAGAAGCTACTAAGAAAACAAAATAAGGGGCTGGCAAGATGTTTCAGCCAGTCAGGACACTGGCAGCCCCGCCTGAAGCCCAGCTTCTGATCCCCAGAGCTCACACGGTTGAAAGGGAGAACTAACTCCTCAAATTGTCCTCTGACCACGGAGGCGCTGTCTGGAAGATTCTTAGAGAAGTTTCAAACTGGGCCTGGTGCCTCATGCTTGTGATTCCAGATACTCAGGAGAATGCAAGTTCAGTCCACACCATCACAAAAAATGGTGGGGGAGGGTCAGACATCCAGAGAGGACACAGTTGGCTTGATGAAAAAGCGGGCAGTGGTGGCTCACACCTTTAATCCCAGCACTCGGAAGGCAGAGGCAGGGCGATCTCTGAGTTCGAGGCCAGCGTGATCTACAGAGCGAGTTCCAGGACAGCCAAGACTACGCAGAGATCTCTACCCTGTCTCAAAAAACCAAAAAGAAAAGAAAAAGCTACCGTCCAGTGGGGACATTTCAGATTCATAAAACAGTAAGTAAAAATGGGGAAGTTTAAAAAGGGAAGAAAAACCAAGAAAGGAAGTAATTTACAGCAATCATGGTAATTTAGCTCCAGATTGCCAAGAGGTAAATCTCAAATATATAAAAGATTGTAGAATGAACTAAAACCAGGGGCAGAGCTCATTTCTATAAGCCTGGTGCTGGGATGAGAGAGGAAGATGGAGGCAAATGGAACCCTTGGGCTCACTGGCCAGCCATTCTAGTAAAAATAGCTCCAGATTCAATGAGACAGACCCTGTTACAAAAAATAGAATGGTGAAAGACAGAAGAAGATGCCTGTGTTAGTTGGGGTTGCTTTGTTTTGGCAACTTCATGCAAGCTAGAGTCATCTGAGAGGGAACTTCGGTTAAGAAAATCACCTATCTGGGCTGGAGAGATAGCTCAGAGGTTAAGAGCACTGACTATTCTTCCTAGAGGTTCTGAGTTCAATTCCCAGCAACCACATGGTGGCTCACAACCATCCGTAATGAGATCTGGTGCCCTCTTCTGGCCTGAAGGGATACATGCAGGCAGAACACTGTATACATAATAAATAAATCTTTAAAAAAAAAAAAAAAAAGTAAGAAAATCGCCCATCCGATTTGCCTGTAGGCAAGCCTGTTGACATTTTCTTGATTGATGATTGATGTGGAAGGACCCAGTCCACTGTGGAAAGTGCCGTTCCTGGGCAGGTGGTCCCAGGGTACAGCAGAAAGCAAACTGAACAAGCCAGGGTGAATAAACCAGCAAGCAGGCCTTCTCCATTCCCTCTGCATCTTTCCCTGCCTTCGGGTTCTTGTTCTGGGTTACTGCACTGTCTTCCCTTGATGACGGACGGTAATCTGAGAGAGGAAGGAACAGCTTTCCTCCCTGGGCTGTCTTTGGTTGGTCTTTTATCATAGTAATAGACAGCAGACTAAGACAATGCCTAACATAGACCTCTGGCCCAAACACATGGCAGGTGCACAGGATGCCTTTCACTTGTGCATGGCAAAAAAAAAAAAAAAAGAAGAAAGAAAGAAAGAAAGAAAAAGAAACAGAAACAACTGACTTTTTAAAATGAGGCTCATGGGATTGGAAGGTGGCTCAGCAGTTAGCGTGTGGTGGCTAATATGGTCTGTAACCAGTTCCAAGAAGAATCTGATACCCTCTTCTGGCCTTCACAGGCACTGCATGCAGTACCCATACACATGAAATAAAAACAATAAATCTCTTTAAAGGAAAAAAATGAAGATCACTGTGTATTTTGTTCACTGCCTTTGCCTAATTTTGAATTTCACATTTTAAAAAAAAATCTATTTGCAAGCCAGTAGAAGGCATTTTGTTTAGTTTCTTGTGACTAATGATGTCCGTGAGTCTTTTCTCCCTTTGTCCCTTTAGGCTGTTAAGTCCCTTTGCTTCTAGCTCCATATCTCTCTGCCCAATTCATCATCCTACCTACTACCATTATCTTTTTTTTTCAGGCCACCATCATTGCAGTTCTTACATAATCATAACTACTATTGCAGCTTAAAAATCCAACAGTGAATAGTTCTCCACTACCCTTAGAATAAAGTCTATACCCCTTACCATGTCATTTCCTGGACCCTTACGTGCTTGGAGAGTGAGTCTGTGGGCTGAAGCATCCTCGGCCAGCCCACCATAGCTGAGCTACATCAGTCCTAAAACACCTTGTAAGATCCTGGAGTTAACCACCTTTCACAAAATGGGTTGTTCTTGTGTGATTAGTGTAGTGTATTATTTCTCTTGTCTTCTTATCAATTATTTTTAAAGCCTTTTTACTGGTCATGTGATCCCCAGTTCACCACTGTGCTCAAGTCCACAAGCTGAGCCACACCAGCTATCTGTCCTGGGAATCACTGTCCTCTCCATGCTCAGCTGCCCAATTTCATTTCTACCAACAGCCTCCATGTTTCATACTTTACATTCAAGTCATTCTGAAGGGCTTTTGTGTCCCCAAACACACACTGTATGCTATTTACTACACTGGAGCACAGCCAGGCTAAACCTAATTATTCCTTCGGAACAAAGCCTGCTTGTCCTCCCCAAGAATTTTCCCTAAACCCCCTGGTGGTAAATCCTAGGCATAATTCAGGTCTTTCCCCATCTTTCACTTGACATCTGCTGTACAAATATCTCTTACAATACATACTACACGATAACCACCTATATCTACTTACATATATTCTCTAGTTTGCCTGTACACTCTTTGAGAGTACAGTAGATTTTTCTCTGGCTTCCTAGTGTCAAGCACAGTAGCTTTCTCATTAAGTAGTGCCTACAGGGCCCGGGATATAGGTCATTGGTCAAATTCTTAATGTTAAGTAAGTAAATAGTACCTTCCATAATAATAAGTAGTAGTATTGAATAAAATGGAATGGAAGGATGAACAGATGATAATTCTGGAAACTGCATATGCTATCATCAGCATTTACATGTCTTAAATTCTATAGCTTGCTTTGACACTCCCCAGCTCCCTGTTTTAGTTAGGTTTTAGTCCCTGTTTTAGTCCAGGCAGACCTGGAGCTTGCTTGTAGATGAGGATGAGCTTCAATTTTTTTTTCTTAATTTAGTTAGTCCTTCAGCAACATGTATATAATCATTCTAGAGACATTGAATTTCTCCCTCTGTCTCCTAGAGTGCTGAGATCATGAACACTGGTGTGCAGTGCCAGGATCAAACCCAGGGCCTGGTGCCTGTTAGGCAAGTACTCTACCATCCATGCTACATAGAGCTCCAGCCTGGGTATTTTGACACTATCCCAGGAATTATTTTGTTTTTTATTTTGACACTTATTTACTTATTTTGTGTGTTTGTGAGCATGTGGGGAAGTTGGTTCTCTCTCAGACTCAGGTCCCTAGGCTTGATGACAAGTACCTTTATCACTAAACACACTTGGCTCATACCCCCAAGAATTCTTAACCGGAGATCTCTAGATATCTTATCATAGATGGATATTCCACAAACTGCCCCCTCCCAACCATATGCAAAAGGTTTTGAGTTTTGATTTTTTTGTGTGTGTTCACAGAAATCCATAGTATAGGTGTGTGAAGGGCCTGCCTCTGTGTTGCCAACTCTAGATAGCGCGGGCAGACTATCTGCAGGTGTGTTGCAGAAACTCATTATCTTTCCTCAACAAATGCTGACAGACTGTGCTGTGGCTGGCATTACCAGCTCCTGGGCCCAAAAGCTGTAGGATTACATCATCCAGGGCTCTTCTCTTCCTCTGCTTTCAAAGTCACCAAATCCAGTTCATTCCATATCATAAATTATCCCCACATTGATATTTCATTCCATCTTGAGATGGCTCATCATCATCATCATCATCATCATCATCATCACTCTCTCTCTCTCTCTCTCTCTCTCTCTCTCTCTCTCTCTCTCTCTCTCTCTCTCTCTCTCTTTGAGACAGGGTTTCTCTGTGTAGTTTTGGTG